GAGCACTTCCAGGGAAGTTGTGAATCCTCAGCTGAGAAGAGTGAGGGAGTTTACAGGAGGGAGACTGGAGGGCTCTGCATTGTGAAGCCGGGTTATTTCAGTAAAATCTCAGCAGTTACACTGAGGCTTGGCAGCATGAGAAAGGTAGACTCAAGGACGCTGGACAGAGGGAGTCCCACGTTTGATTTGGAGATCCCATTCACTCAGCCACTTTTTATTGAATGCACACTGTTATGCTATCCTAGGGAGAAAAAAAAACCCATCTTTAAAAAAATTTTTTAATCAGAAAATGTTTTTGAAATTCACAGGAAAAAAATATGTCCCCCACCTGTGTCTTAACTTCTTCCTACCCCCTGCTCCTCACATTATTTCACATCTTTAAGCAAAGTATAGAATTAATATTACCAAGAATGGGTTCTGTGCCTGGGGTCTATCAGGAATTAGGAGATGATGATAACCTGGGGTTTCATGAAGAAGAATGGACTTATTAAGAGTTGTTGAGAGAGTGTGGTCCACATTTATGGAAGTTACAAATGCAGATTTCACTGACTCTTCTTCCCCAGAGTTAAGTTGCCCGGAACTCCCTGTTCACCATGCACTGAACAAACGAGCTGATAAAATTTAAGGCTGGAACCCGGTGTTTTCACTCACAGTTGCTCCCCAGGTATCTGTTCTTTTACACCTCCACTCAGCTTTCTTACCACTACCTCTTGACTCCCCACGATGCACTCTTCATCCTCGTTCCACTGTCGCTCTTCCCTATTTCTCCAACCAACAGCTTTGTCCCACCACAGTTCATGCAACCAAGCATATTAGTCTTCTAGGGCTGTCATAACAGAAGACCACATACGAGGGCCTTAATCAACAGAAATCTGTTTTCTCACAGTTCTGCAGGCTGGAAGTCCAAGATCAAGGTGCCCAAGGGATTGGTTTCTCCTGAGGCCCCTCTCCTTGGCTTGTAGACGGCTGTCTTCTCGCTGTGTTGTCCTCATGTGGCCTTTTCTCTGTGCACGATCATCCCTGGTGTCTCCCCCTCTTCCTGTAAGGACACCAGTCCTGTTGGATCAGGGGCCCACCCTGATGACCTCATTTAACCTTAATTACCTCCTTCAAGGCCCCATCTCCAGATGCGGTCACATTGGGAGTTAGGGCTTCAACATGAATTCAGGAGGACACAATTCAATCCCTAACAGTAAGCATGCTTGGCAGTCTCTGCAGTGGTCCCTTGTCTACACGCAGAAGAAAAGCCTCCTGGGCTGGGGGCGCCCGAGTTAGCAGATGAAGCAGCGGCTCAGGAGTAGCTGAGGCGAGAGGAAAGATCCTGGGGTTCTCACTTCTTCACTGGCTTCTCACTAGACGCAACACTGAACTGAAGTGCACAGCGTTCTGTTAATCACGCTTCTCAGTTCACCGCACGCTGTCCTCATTCGCTGATGCTCCTGATGTATTTTCTTCTCACATCGTCTATTCCCATGAACGCTTCCATTTTCCCCTCCCCCCGTCACTCTCTCTAAGGCTTTTAACATAGCTCCTTAGACACATAGGAACTTTTGAAAGACATACAGAGCTTTGTATATGTTTGAAGTTGGAAACCTGTAAACACTGCTTTTGTTGATCAACAAAAGGACATAGTGTTGAGAAACTTTGTTTTCTAAGATCACAGCTGGTTAGAAACTTTGCTGTTTGAAATCTCATTGGCAAGACTGAAACATTCCACTTTTGCCTGGAAGACTTGAGTCTTCTGACAGAGAAGCAGCCAGGTGTACAACTTCAGAGAAGGGGCTTCTGGACTCAACAGTCCATATTCACCTTAACTAAGTGGTTTCCAAGGGAACAGGACCCTGAGTCTCTTGTTGGCCCAGGGCTGTTGTTCCCTTCTTTACATACACTCCTGCTTTAGTTTGAAGCTCTCCAAACATCACTTCATTTAAACTCTACCTAACCTTCTTCTTTCTCCAATATCTTATAATAATCATGTCCTTTCCTGTGTTTGGTGGGGCACCCATGATTGCTCTGGCAAACGGTCTGCCTGGTTGCAGCAAATTAACAAACTTGGCTTTGTTGGGCTACAGGTTTGTCCCTGACAGTCTTTATCAGATAGCTTTATAAAAATATACATGCATGATACCACTGAAGAGCTCATTCTTTTTTCTTACTTGAGAAAAATCCACACTAGCTTTTACAAAAGATCTATCCATGTTGTTATGTGTAAATCTAATTCATTACTTCTTCTTCCTTTTTTTTGAGGAAGATTAGCCCTGAGCTAACTGCTGCCAATCCTCCTCTTTTTGCTGAGGAAGACTGGCCCTGAGCTCACATCCGTGCCCGTCTTCCTCTACTTTATACATGGGACACCTACCACAGCATGGCGTGCCAAGCGGTGCTATGTCCGCACCCGGGATCCGAACTGGCGAACCCCAGGCCGCCAAAGTGGAAGGTGCACACTTAACCACTGCGCCACTGGGCTGGCCCCTAATTCATTACTTCTATTGACTGGATGGAATTTCATCTTAAAGCACATTCACACTCCCACACACCATATTTTTTATCCATTCTCCTAATAGTAGACCCCAGAGTTACCTCCACTTCCCTTGTGCTCCAAACAATGTGTTTCCTCTCATGCATGTCCTCATGTATTTTCTCCTGTGGACCTGCTTGAGAATTTTCTGGGATATGTATCTGAAGTACCACTGCTGGGATCTCAGGTGCACTGCCATAGTATTGCTAAGTACTGTCAGAATGGGAGCTCCAATTTACAGACTTGCCAGCACTTGATATAATTGTCTGCTTTCAAATGATTTCCAATTTGATGGGTATAAAGTGGTATTCCAGTTTTGTTCTGATTTGTATTTCTGTTACCTAACCAGGTTCGTTTTTGCCCACTGACCAGAAAGCCAAATACCGAGATGATGAGATTGCAGCAGAGAGAGGGTTTACTCACAAAGCAGCCAAGTGAGGAAGCGAGAGCGTGAGTCTCAAATTCGCTTCCCTGAAAATAAAGACTCAGGGATATTTATGGGATAGGGGGCAAGGTGGTCTGAAATGTGGAGAGAGGTGGTTGGAGGTGAGGAGAGGTGAGGTCATTGATGATCTGTGCAAGCGCAGTCAGACTCCATGCCTCTTCATAGGACCCATGCTCACAAAATGGTGGCATTAGCAAGATCTGAGGGTGGAGTTTTTAGCCTCTTGATGTCTAAAGGTCACCTATTGGACATCTGCACGGGCCCCGTTGATGGGTTGGTGCTCTCAACCAGCCTGAAGTGGACAAGGGGTTCTAATTTCTGAAAAACAGCTCACATGCCCATTACCATGGTGACCCAGGCTCCAGGGAGATGCTATCTATAGGAGCCTCGTGGGAGTCAGAGAGCATATTGCCTAAGCAGCACAGTTAACAATGGGTGGGTTAAACAGCTGAAAGCTATAATCAGTCATTGCAGAAAGGAAAAACCTTTACTACCTAGATACTTAATCGTCAATGGCTAACTCTCTGCCGGTTTCATTTCTTTGAGTACAAGTGAAGCCAAGCATATTTTCTGCGTTGATTGCCTATATATTTTGCTGCCATGAATTGCCTATTAATATTATTTTTCTCTTTAAGAAACTTGGCTTGGGGCCTGCCAGTGGCATGGTGGTTAAGTTTGCATACTCTTCTTTGGAGGCCCAGGTTTGTGGGTTCGGATCCCAGGTGTGGACCTACACATCGCTCATCAAGCCATGCTGTGGCAGGCGTCCCACATATAAAGTAGAGGAAGATGGGCACGGATGTTAGCTCAGGGCCAGTTTTCCTTAGCAAAAAGAGGAGGATTGGCAACAGATGTTAGCTCAGGGCTAATCTTCCTCACAAAAAAGAAAAATTAAAAGACTGGGCTTTCTGTTGTTAAACAAATAAAGCATAAGAGCTAGTCTTCGCCTACTTATAATTTATAATTAGGCAGAAATTAGGGAACAATGGAGTACTGTACTGTGTGGTACTTCCTGAAAGTGTGAAAGATAATCCTCTGAGATGAAAACTGTCATGGGCTGATGTTTTTAGAGGCAGCTGGGAGAGATTTGAAAGTATTGGGAAGATGTAAGTGGTGGAGGAGAGACAATGTCCCTTACTGTGGCAGGCAGCATGGACAAATGCCAGAAGAAGAAAGGTAGGTGGTGGTTCTTGAAAAAGCAAGGAGACCAGCTTCACTGGAGGATGTGGTTGGGGTAGTGGTAAATGTGGGTAAATAAGATTCAATCAGGAAGAGGGACTCGTAGGTCCCTGGGCAGAGAGCGAACATGGTCAAAAGTGGTTGCTATGGTTTGAATGTTTATGTCCCCCTTAATTCATGTGTTAAAGTCCTAACCCCGAAAGATAATAGTGTTGGGAGGTGCTAGGGCCGTGAGGACAGAGCTCTCATAAATGGGATTGGTGCCTTTGTGAAAGAGTCTCCAGAGGCTCCCTTGCCCCTTCCACCATGCGAGGACGCAGTGATAGCCTGCTGTAAACCAGGAGAGGGTGCTCACTTGACCGTGGTGGCGCCGCGATGCTGGACTCCCAGCTTCCAGAACTATGAGAAATAAATCTCCATTGCTTATAAGCTCCTCAGCCTGTGCTATTTGGTTATAGCAGCCTGAATGGACGAGGACAGTGGTGTTTTAGAAAGATCTGATTTTTCCCACGGCAAAGGGACTGAGAAGGTAGACCTGTGATTAGAACAGATTGTAGGTAAAAAGTGAATGTTTATTTGAGTTGAACAGAAAATATGTACTGAGGCGTTAGCATTGGAATTGAAAAAGAAAGGATAATTAGAAAGATTTAAGAAGGACACTATAAAAGCAATGGAAGAGTTAGTGATTGTTCTTAGCTTTTAGTCTGAGGGATTGGAAAAATAAAGATGATTTCATCCGAAATAGGATAGTTTGGAAGAGGAAATAAGCGACAGAGGAAAAGCATAAATTGCAACGGTGTTATATTTTAATTTCTTTACAGGGTATAAGGGGAGAGCATATTCTTCACAAATTCAGGATTTTTTCCTTTTTTTTTTTTTTATCAGACTCTTTTCAGGCCCTATTTCCACCTTTTCTTTCTGGTTTTTCTAATCACTCTTTCTACACACAAACTCCCATTTATCAATTAAGCACTATTTAACAATTTCTCTCCATTCCTTTAAATCCTGAAAAGCACTAGCCCACCTTTGGTAAAACTCGCCATGTTTTCATGATAGTTGAACACTAGATTAAAAAACGATGACTTTACCAAATGATACATTTTATTATAGCAATCGATTTACGCCCGGTTTGCTGAATGCATCTGTGTTGTAGGCTTTTTGGCTAATAGAATTTGTTAAAACCCTCTCAGCAAAGGGCTGTGACGATGACCATCTTCTGGGACTTGGAAATAGGCTTCTGATACAGACCTTAATGTGTTATATACTAATGGCACTTATTAGAATGGGATTCCACACGTACCATCACTTCCGACATCAGCCTGGCTTTTTCAGCCCCCTCACAGCATGAGACTTTGGTAATTATGCTAATATTCACTGATTCATGAGGACAAGTTCCTAAAGTGCGCTTAATTAACTTGGAGATTTTGTAAACAGCCGTACACGGAGGTTCTGCAAATTGTAGGGATATGTCAGTCTGACACGTGTACAGTCTGCCTCCTAACCTCATCACTTTTTACTAAAGCTGAAAACAACGAGAAGCTCAGATCTGGTACCTTTTGAAGCAAATGCTCGGGGACGATCTTATTCCCCCTGTCGTCATCTGTTGAGCCCCGTGACTAGGTAGATTGTTGCCTTTTACATCAGTATGAGGGAAAATATTAAAGTTTGTTTCTTTAGCGAAGGGTACAATTTTTCCAACTGTTTCTGCAGTGTGATTTTGCCCATGGGTTTCTTGGTCCTGCTGACCAGCATTCCTCTCCAGGGGACGCTTCTGTGTCAGATTTCACATCCATTTTCTCTGCTGCCTTTTAGTCCCAGCTGCTGGGTTGATTTGATATTTGAATTACTCATCACCCTCCTTTGACTGCAAATCACCTGACTTTTGACATTTTATTAAAATCTCATACTCCCCTACAAGTAAGAGAGACTATTCATACACACAGAACATTTAACCAAGACTAACAGTGCCATCCAAGCCTTTAACACACACAAAGATTTAAGAGAAAAGGTTAGGGATTTACTTCAGAGCCAAGACCAAGCTAATCAAAATGGAAGGAAGAAACATCGTCAAGAAAGAACAGAAGAAGAAAAAAAAACCCTACAACATACAGTAAGGAGAAACACCAACTGCACAAAGCTAATGACAACAGAGAATAGGGACGGTTTTTTAATAATCTTCTTATTACCACTGCTTAAGATCACACCCTCAGAGAAGTCCTAGAAACTAAGCCAGGGATTTGCCTGTGGTTTCTCAACGGTCCTGGCAAGGTCCTTTCCTCTCATTAATTTAAGCTGCAATCTTGGGTACAGTGTCTTTGGGAACTAGCCGGAATACACCCGAAGATAATCACACGTTTATTGCTTAGCCTTTTCTTTGACTTCAATCGTCAGGACCTCTTCCCCGGCCTCGGCAGAAGCAGCCATGCTGATGATGAGTGACTGACAGCTAGTTTCTCTGGGTAAGGCTGCCCTGCTAGTCGACCGGGGCGCTTCCTCTGCTGAGGCAGAACTTGCTCTGCGTTTAGACCCATCCAGTGTTTTCTCTGCTGACTCTCTTCCTTTATCTTCATGTTCTTTTTCTTTACCCTCTCCTCCTTCAGAGTTTTCACTTTTTTTCTGAAAGAAGCAGTTACAAAGAATTGGCACTGGAATCATCATCAAGGACATTGGACTCTTTTGATTAACGTACAATGGCTAAGGACCACCACCGTGCCAGACCATCCAAATTAAGCTGATATGGGAATCATGTCTGCATGACTGCATCCGACGATCATTGAACTAAGTTTTCTGACGCTCTGCAGAATGGGGCCGAGCTGCCACACCTGACTGATGGCTTTAGTCTAGCAGCAGTTTGTCCCTGCCAAGGAATTCTCTTCCTACTGGTCCTTGTGCTCTCCAAATAATTAGACTTAGTGCTCAGGACTCTTTGCTTTTGCTTTTTAAATATTTACTTATTTTATGAAGATGAAATTTTAAATATTTATTTTTTAATAAAAAAGCATTAACCAAATGCCATAAAAATACTATAAAAAGTATAGTTTTCCTCTTGTATAAGCTTGTGGGAGAACCTCAGAGAGAAACCCATCTATCTTTCCTTGTATAGTCTTCTCCATTCATCCCACGGGTGCCTCAGTTTTAGGACCTTTTGTGTTTAGTATCATCTACAGAAATTTCATAGTAGAAAACATACCACACTCTTTGCTGCTGATGCCTGGTATCCATTTGAGAGAGGCCTATACAAGGGATGAGTGTGCACGTAGGAAGTCGAGAACCTCACTTAACACGTTGACTCGCATATTTCTCTACCCCATCCATCTTTTACACAAATTGCTATTACTACACTGATGCAAATGAGGCATTTGGTTTACGCTGAATCCCTAAATTTCACCACAGGGTCGTGTGTGTGGAGAAGGAAGAGGCAAGTTCTAGTCTCTTGCGTGTGACTGACTTTGTAATATTTGCTCTACCGGTCTTCTGGAAGACCCACAGCTGCCCAATTCTCACCGTTTCAGAGACAACATTCAGAAAACAGGAAGCCCTGTTTTGTTTCTCAGTATCTGCCCTCATAGGCTTACTATGAGAATCAAACAAATGTGAAAAAAAAGAGAGAAAAACAATGCCATTTGAGTTTCTTGACATTTCTAGATTGGGAGGCTGCTCAGTGTAGGCCTGGAAGTCTGGAGAGCTGAGGAATAGTTTCTGCTCTGTCACTGACTGTGATCTTAGCCAAATAGATGGAGCTGGATCTCCCTTTCTTCATCTATAACACGAAGGGCTTGAGCGAAACCTCCGAGGTCATTTCTAGCTTTAAACATTTGTGATATATAATTGATTATTTGTGAAAATGTTCACTGGCTCGTTGTTAAAATGTGTTATATATTTAGAGGCATATATATATGTTTATACACATACATTTGATTCTCATTATTCATGGCAGTTTTGTTCTATAAAGCTGCCATGAGCACTGAATTAGCAAATCCTGAACCATTGCTCCTGGGAATAATGCAGGATTAGGTTCCACCGAGCCTCTGGCCACAACATTTTTGTCATCTGATCAATGCACAACCTTGTTTTCTGTGTATTTCTGTTTACAGACACTTATTTAATATACATTGTTGACTCGCTACGTGGAACTCTCGGCCACCAGCACTATAACTCACGCATGAACGAAGCTCATCTAAGGCGTGTGTTTTCTCTGTGAGGCACGTCAGAGCACCTTGGTGCTCAGGGACACTAGACAGCACTTCAGCACCGTGCTTAGGGGCCATTTGCAACAGCAGATAAAAAAAGAAGCACAAAAATGCAAAAAATATAGCAGTTAAATAGACCACGAAAGGTCACTTGTTTACAATGTGAGACTGAAATCAGAAGGCAGAGCAGCTCCTGGCCCAGCCTGAGCTGGGAACGTAAGCATCGAGCCAGTAAAATTTTTCGCTGCTCTGCACATGTATGTCTGCAGATGACCACAAAAGCACCCGGAGTATTGATTTTGAGGTTACACATAGATTTTAGTGAGTAGGCAGATTTGCAAATGTAGAATCCACAAATAATGAGGGTCAACTGTGTTTATATATACATGTATGTTAAAATCATCTATGATAAACCCATGAGATTAAACGTGATATATGGGGAGACCGTTTCAATGATAATAAGTGCTACACATAAAGCAGTAATTATTTGCATCCGATGAATCCATATCATCCCAGTGTCTGAAACGGGATGGAGGTGGGAGCCGGTCTGGGTACACTGAGTCTGGCGGTCTCTCTGATAAGCCCTCCACTCCCCCTGCCAGGCACTTACCTGAACAGTTTGTTCTCTCTTCAGTTTGAGCAGTCTTGAGAGATCTGGCTTTTCCGAGCCCCCCAGGAGAGCTTTAAACATTTTGGGGGTCTCTTGCTTTGGAGGGAAGAGAAGGGCAAGTCCTTTTCTTGGAGGGGTGGCCTCTGCGGCCGGACCCTTTTTCTTGAGAAGCACTCTGTGGACAGGAGAGAAAGGCTATTTTAGATGACATGGTGAGAGTTCTGGAAAAACCTCCAAATCTGTGAAGTTTTCAACGCAGAACTGCATAGACAGTTGTTGAGAAAGCTGTTCACCGCCATCAAAATACAGTCCTCCTCTTAGATTTTAGGAGGCAAAACCAGCTCCTTTCTAATAGGGTTCTAGAGGCTGTACCTGGCTTTCTTCATGAGCAGCTTCTCAGAGTCTGGATAATGCACCAGAATCTTTTGCAGGGTCTTTTTGTCCAGAGTTAAAAGATTGGCAAACCCATGGGCCACCACGTTGGCAGTTCGACGGTTCCCTCCTCTTGCTGCCAGAAGGCTGTAAGAGAGAAAAGTGAATCTTTGCCGGCAGGCTCGCTCTCCCTCCACCAAAATCTTTTAAAGAACAGAAATCAAATATTATAACCACTGACACTGCCTCAGGGATCATTTCCTGCAGGTGGGAGAGTCAAGTTGTGGTGGCCAGACAAGTGGCAACAGTTTCCAACGTGTTTTGTCTCTCTCCCCTCAGATTGAGGACTTGTAGCCATCAGTGCCCATGAGTCTTCATCCCAGATTCCGGGAGCTCAGAACCTCTGTGCACTGGGGATCTCCCCTGCTCCCCTGGATTCCCTTTGCATCCTCCCCATCCTCTTTGCTCCTCAGGAAGCTGACCTCTGTGCGCTTGCCCTCTCGCATTCCTTTGGGTTCAGCCAATGGGAAGTACCAGTAGGAAGTCAGAGAGCAGGAGGAGAGTGGGGTTGGAGCATTTATTCCCTTGTCCTTGCCCTGCCGGGCCCGAGGTGAGCAGCGGCTGCAGCTCTCTACCTACATCCACAGCTCCTAATGTGGGGCCATCTCTTAGAAGCACAACTCCCATAGCTCTTTCTGGGTTCTGGTAACGTCCCCTCCCCTTGTTCCCTTCAGGGCTTGCTCTGGGAACAGCTCCCTTGCTGCTGCTAGCTTCAGGATGCATCGCCATCCCTTGTTGGGTACTCTGAGATTTTCCTTCACTTTGTCAATAATTACTCTATTAAACTCTTCTTAGTTACGTTGCTTGAGTGTACCTTCTGTTTTCTGCTTTGGCTTTGACTGATACAGCTTTGAAATCAAATCTTTTTTTTTTTTTTGCTTGAGGAAGATTGTCCTTGAGCTATTCCTCTATTTCGTGTGTGGGACGCCACCACAGCATGGCTCAACAAGCAGTAAGTATGTCCGCCCCTGGGATCCAAACCTGTGAACCCTGGGCCGCTGAAGTGGAGTGCTTGAGCTTAACTGCTACACCATGGGGCTGGCCCCTGAAATCAAATCTTAATGATGCCCTGTTTACGTCTGGTAAATTCAACCTCTTCCTCTACTTAACTCCCAAATCATCTTGTTTCTCACTATCGTAAACTGCTCTGTAGTATAGTCATTCACATGCAACTTCCCACACAGAATGTCGTTGACTTTCTGGGCTTTATATCTCTCAGACACATAGTTGGGCATTTTGCATTTGGGAAGTGACCAACGAGTAGTTCGAAAATAAATGAACACACAAACGAATAAAAGAAATGGATACAAATTCTATCATTCAGCAATAATCTGGAAAATAAGGGTTGGTCTTTAAAACCGAGACAATAAAAATCACATTTCAAACGTTTAAAAAAACGCTACAGGTTCTGTCTTGGAAAGATAACACAATAGGTAGAATCTCTTGGAGTGAACCAGTTAGAAACAGAGGAAAAGGCTCATATTAATAAAAACACAGTCTCTAGGGGTGAAAAGGAAAGAGAAAACATCCTGGCAGTAGGAGTGTTCACACTTTCACAATGCTACCTTGGGGGCAATGAGATTGAGAAGCTGCCTGGGTCCTAGGCCTGAAGATTTATACCAGACAATGTGCACTTTTTCCGGCTGTTGTTGGGAAAGGGAACATTCCGACTGGCTGTTAACTGTAAAAAACTAACACAGGGTTTCAGCTCTATCATGTAAAGAGCTTGGAGGTTGTCACTCCTGAACTTACAACAAGAAAAAGCTGGACAAACTGAAAATGGACGACCTTTCTTGAGCCCCTCAGAGGACTGAGGTGTCAAGGGAAACCCCATGCAAATCTGGAGAGAGAGGTGAATCCAGACAGCCACGGCCAGACCTGCCGTCCCTGGAACAGGAGCCTGGGAGCCATGACTCGTAGGAAGACTTAAATGGTAGTGTTGACAAATTGCTGCAGGCTGAGAGAGGGCCATCAGGGAAGCGAGAAACTCCTGGGGGCCACAATTATGGGGACACTGATACTTTTATGGGTTTTACCTTGAAAATCCCCACCAGGTTCTCATGGTTAAGAGCCAAGACAGATCTGCTTTTGGCTCCCACAGTGGGAGGGGATGATTAATTATTGTGAAATACACCCAGCGCTTATTTGTTCTCCCTAACAAAGCCCTCCTATCCAGGGAAAAGGACTACCAGTGCCTTATCTCCCACCCCGGTCCCCTCTAGCCTTTCTGTCCTACCTAAGGGGGATGAGAAGCCAGGAAACACTTGTGGAGGTCACATCCCAGGGACGCAGATCCACTAAGAGACTGACATTTAATCATAAGATTATACATCTCCCCTATACCTTACCACCATACCAAGGGGCTCCAGGATAATGAGAGTGGATCATAGCTGCAAGATGCAGACTTGCAGGAGGAGGAGTACTGAGGGAAGGCCAAGGTCAACAGGGAGAACAGGGCACCAGAGAAATTCGAAAGCTCTGGACCTACAGCTGCAGCAAACATTAACTACGGCCCAGCTCCTTAGCCAGATTAACATAAAGCCTCAAGCTGAAGACCTGTTTACCACAGTTCCGACTACCCATTACATCATGCACAGATTTCAACAGAAAATTACAAAGCATGCTGAAAGGCAAGAAAAATACAGTTTGAAGAGACAAAGAAAGCATTAGAACCAGACTGAGAGCTGACACAGATGTTGGAATTACCACACAAAGAATTTAAAATAACTATGATCAATGTGTTAAGGGATCTAATGAAAAAAGCAGATATTATACAAGAAGAGATGGGTAATGTAAGTGGAGAGAGAGATATTCTAAGACACATTCAAAATAACTCGTTGGAAATCAAAAACACACTAACAGAAATGAAGAATGACTTTGACGCACACATCAGTAGACTGGACATGGCCAAGAAAAGAATAGATGAGCTTGAGCATAGGTCAACAGAAAGATCTTAGACTGCAATGCAAAGAGAAAACAAGAATTAAAAAAAAAGAACAGAACATCCAGAACCGTGGGGCAATTTCAAAAAATATAAGTATCATATATATGATATGTGCATCAGCATACATAATCAAACACGTTGTTGTTACTATTATTTTGAACAAACTGTTAGATCAAATAAGAATAAGAAAAAGAAAAGTTTTTATTTTACTTTCACTTATTCCTTCTTAGATGCTCTTCCTTTCTTTATGTAGATCCGAGTTTCTGATCTATATTATTTTCTTTCTCTCTAAATTACTTTTTAAAATATTATTTGCAAGCTGGGTCTACTGGCAACAAGTTCCCTCAATTTTTGTTTGTCTGAGAAAGTCTCTATTTCTCCTTCACTTTTGAAGGATAATTTCACAGGTGCAGAATTCTAAGTTGGTGGGTTTTTTCTCTCAATTTAAATACTCCACTTTACTCTTTTCTTACTTTCATGGTTTCTGGGAAGTAGGATGTAATTCTTATCTTTGCTCCTCTATAGATAAGGTGTTTTTTTCCTTTGGCTTCTTTCAGGATTTTTTCTTTATCTTTGATTTTCTGTAATGTGAAAATGATATGCCGAGCTGTAGTTTTTTTGGCATTTACCCTGCTTGGTGTTCTCTGAGCTTGCTGGATCTGTGGTTTCATGTCTGACATTAATTTTGTAGAAATTCTCAGTCATTATTGTTTCAAGTGTTTCTTTTGTTCCTTTCTCTCTTTCTTCTCCTTCTGATAGTCCCATTATGCGTATATCACGCATTTGTAGTTGTCCCACAGTCCTTGGCTTTCTGTTCTGTTTTTTTCAGTCTGTGGTCTCTTGCTTTTTGGTTGCTGAGGATTCTAGTGATGTATCCTGCAGCCCAGAGACTCTTTCCTCAGCCACGTCCAGTCTGCTAAGCCCATCAAAGGCATTCTTCATCTCTGTCACAGTGTTTTTTCATCTCTAGCCTTTCTTTTAAAATTTTTCCTAGGATTTCTATCTCTCTGCTTACACTGTCCATCTCTTCTTACATACTGTCTGCTTTGTCCGTTAGAGCCCTTAGCACATTAATCATAGTTGTTTTAAATTCTTGGTCTGGAAATTCCCACATCCCTGCCATGTGTGGTTCCGATGCTTGCTCCACCTCTTCAGACTATGTTTTTTAGCTTTAAGTATGCCTTGTAATTTTTTCTCGATTGCTGGATATGGTGTACTGCATAAAATGAACTGCTGTAAAGAGACCTTTAGTGATGTAGTGGTGAGGTGTGGGGAGAGGAAACATTCTGTGGTCCTGTGATGAGGTCTCAGTCCTTTAGCGAGCCTGTGCCTCTGGGCCGTGAGCTTCACCAATGTTCCTCAGTTTTTTCTCCCCTCTTAGGTGGGGCAGGATGACTAGTGTGGACTGGCGTTGGATATTTTCCTTCCCCAGGTCAGTTAAGAGGCTCTGGTTAACTAGTTTCCCCTGAGGGCAGATCTTGTTAAGAACAGAGTGTGCTGGTGTGTTTCCAAACGGTTCCTCTTCCCCTCCCCTGCCAGAAACACAAAGGGATTTTTCTCTGATATTTATTATGGGATGCAGTGGAGCTCCTGGAGGTCAATCTCACCATACTGTGCAGGCTCCTCCCATAACTGGTCCCGTGGAGGGTTTGACTCTCAGAGTCAGTTCAGTTCAGGTTTCTCGCCCAGCGCTGGTCCCTGCACTGGTTTCTGCCACGAGCCTCTGCTCTGGTGGCTGCGGTTCCCTGCATTTGCCTGTCAGTCTCTCCAATTTTGGGGCAGCGGTTTGCCCTGTTTTCTCCCCTGTCTTATGGATCCAAGAAGAGTTGTTGATTTTTTGGTCTGTTCAGCTTTTTACTTAGTGATAGGATGGAATGGTGGCATCTAGGCTCCTTACATGTGAAACCAAAAACTGCAAAAGGTATAAAACATATGTAATTGGAATACTAGCCAGCTTACGATTCAGCACTCTCACCTCTGCGATCCGAGTTCATTTCCCAGTCAGGAAACAATACCACTCATCTGTCAGTTGTCATACTGTGGTGGCTGCGTGTTGCTGTGATGCTGAAAGCTATGTCACTGGTCTTTCAAAACAGCAGGGTCACCCATGGGGGACAGGTTTCAGCAGAGTTTCCACACTAAG